AGCTCGAGCATGTAAACAGAAACCGTTGGCCACCGTTTGGAGCGCTTCGTTTCGTCCCGCGGACGCCGCCTGGCGATTCGCCAGGAACCTCTTCGCGTGCCAAAACGCCGAAAATCACGTTCACGTTCCATTACCGTTCCATTAGCGAAATTTGCGAGCGTGCTCGCGCCGCGGCGCGGCATTCCTGACACGCGTACACCGCCATTTTTATTTTTCCTGGTCGAAGACGGGAGACGTATCGGTTCGGGAAACGTACAACGGGCCGTAAAAATGGAATGTCGCGTTTTACACGACACGTTGTACGTTGAGGGAGGAGAATATAAAAATAATGGAACGACAAGCAACGCAATAGAAAAAGTAACACAGAAAGTACAATACATCGCAAAAGCAACGCATCGAAACATCGGGACAGAAGTAACACGGGCAAAATTGCAGCACAAAGAACGCACAAAGCAGACTCCATTACAAAAAACAACACCGAAGACAGCGCAATAAGTCGCGCAAGAAAGACTGCTGAAACCTTGTCAAACGACAACAACGCGACCACAGAACGCGGATGGTTACGCCAATGTACCTGCTGGTGTGTTTCATCGTCGCTAACGTGTGTCACTGTGGTGGTAGCCGGTGTCCACGTGTACCTTGTACTTAGGTTGTTAGAAAAGACGTACCACTCGTTGAGTGGCAAGAGCAACGGTAACAGAAGCAAAACGAGCCCCGGCTGGCGAGCACCGTCCGCGCGCGATTCCGTTAAAATTCTTGCGCCGCGTGTCGTCGCCGGCGGTTGCGCCTTTAATGCCTATCGTTTGATACACGAACTGTAACTGGCAATTCCATCGGACAATATACTCTCAAATTGCCCATTATTCCTACTTGACTTCCACCAGCAATCTGTTTCCCCTCCGCCCCGACCTTAAGGCTAATTTTCCTCGATCACGATCGTAAATCACCGCCGCGGCGCTCGTTTTTCATTCGATTTCCACGGGTGAAGGGCTGAGCCGAATTCAGCATGCTGATTCAGAGGGACGCGGAGAAAGGCCTATCTTTTATGTTATTGTTTATATAAGAATTTTAGGTTAATAAGTTGAAACAATTGCACGTAATTTATACGACGATCCAAGATCGTTAAGTAACGAGACGACGCGTAGCAAAGAGTAAAGCGAGAAACATATGCCGGGATATCGAATACGGGGATTCCTCGTGCACGATTCGTCCCTGCGGAATCGTCAACCATAATTACCATACTTTTTTTCCCCCGCTGCCCACGGGAGCCGGTTTGCCAGGTGGAAAAAAAATCACGGTAATTAAATTACCGAACAAAACATCCGCATCCTCGGCTGAAAGAGCACGGACGGACGTGTCACGCGAGCCCCGTACCCCAATAAAATCACGGTCCGATTCCGCCTTATGCTCCACATAAACCTGATGGCACGTTAGCGATTCGATTTTACCGGTAAAATATATACAGCACTCTGCAAAAGTGTCAGACCACAGGGAAGCTTGATGCAACACCTAAATAAATCTATGTATATACCTTACCGAACTGTAGCGATTGGGTATATAATTAAATTCAATAATATCTTTTTGTTTGAGAATTTTTTATTGTCATTTGCAGGAAACTTGAATGCGCAAGGAAGTACAAAAGGCACGCAGGCAGAGACTAGGATGTCTCTGGTACGGAATCGTGATCGTCTGTAATTGAAATGCCATCTGCGGCGGCGGCGGCGGCGGCCGATTGATGAACAAAGCAGGATTGGCTGGGATAGTTGTCCGCGCAACATCCTTGCGATAGTGTGCGTGAACTTGCAGCGCAGCAGTGCTACGTGTGGCTAGACTGTACAGGCTTATCCAACGTAAGCGGCTTTGCAACTCTGTTGCAGATAATTCCTAAGAAACTTTCCGACATGTTATAAAATTTGTAGATGGAGAAAAGGTTGCACGGGGCATAAAATAGACGAGTAGGAACATTGAGACCTCTACGAAACTGGAGGCAGAAACAACACGCAGGAAACTCCCCTGCGCGCCACCTACCCTACAATTCCCCGAACCCGAAGGACATAGAGGACGCGATAGTCTTCTATAGTCACCTTCCCGAAACTAAACGACCAAATAATACAATGTGGACAGTGTGGACCACCATCACGAGCATCCTCTCAGCCTCTTCTCGGGTTAGTTCATCCGACGATCTTAAAGACGCGGTAACCACTGGACTAAGAGTCGACGGGAGATGAGGTTAGGTTGCGCAACCATGGAAAAACGAGCGTAACGAAAAAACAATGTTTTCCAACGCAAGGACGACCGCAGAGGATGCACGCGCGAAATAAACGCGGTCTCGCGGCCCGTATAAATAAGAGTAGTCTCGCGCGCGTACGCCTCGTGTGTCTCGCGATGGAATCCAGTTTGCCCAGGGAGTTTTTGCAAAACCGTCGGTGTGCACGTCCAGAGCACTGATTCCTGGACAACGTGACGCAATTATGCAACGTGTGGAGCCCGCTCGCCCTCTCCCCTCCCTTCGCTTACCTTAGCCTCCGTCGTGCTGCGTCGTGCGGTTCGATACTATCGTTGACCTTGAGGCCCTCGAACACCGTGCAACGCCGGCTAGCTCGACGGCGGCCTTGCGCGCAGGCGCGGCGCGTCACGAATCGACTCGCGACCCTGGGTCTGGGCTCTAAGCGCTGTGCACGGTTGGTTATTGAGATAAATCGGCATAACGCCTGCTACGGTCGGAACTTTATTTAGATTTCTTTGTATAAAACGGTCTTACCGGCTGGGAACGCGACGTCTACCATGGAACGGGGTGGAGAAGGATGGAGGGGTAGGTGGAGGGGGGGATTAAGAGGCCAGCCACGACGGGATAAGCCCCGCGGAATTTTGGTATTTATGTTTCATCGATAGACACGTGAACGTGGTCTTATTGCGAGCGCCTCCTCCCGCCACCTTCTCCTCCTCCTCCTCCTCCTCCCCTCTCTCTCTTTCCCCACTTTTAGGCTGCCACAGTGTCAAAGGGAAAACAAGCTGATGTAATTAATGGACGGGCCGATAGGCTGTTGCGCACGGGATGTTATTATCAGCGTCGTCGGGGATTCTCACGGATTTACGGTTTGTGCGGATAACGGAGAGGCTTGGTTGGAATCTGGTATTTTTAGGTCTCGGGAACAAAGGCATTGTGGCTCACTTTGTTGTGAGTAGAGTCGCGAGTCGCGAAGTTTGTTAGAGGGTCTTGGATGCCACTTGGGGACTATTAATTATGTTATCTGGTGATTTATGATAGCGAGGGGGCATCGATTCGGGTACGCGCGGAATGAAACGAGCCATCAGAGGTCAAACAGTGTTTGGTTACGCCTACTGTAACGTTTAACTCCTCCCAGAATAGTGTTTGCTACGCCCACTACACTGTTCGACCACTGCTCTACCGCGTCAGGCTCGCCTACTGTACCATTTGTCTACGCCCACCACTCCTATGCTCCGCCCAAATACCACGCCCCCTATCGAAACTAATAAAAAGACAGGGATTTAAATCGATCTAGACCTTCCACCTTGAGCTTCCATCCCTTCTTACCCTTGGTTTCCAATTGGAAGATAGTCACAAAGTGACAGCCAAGAGCGAGAACGCATCTCTCATAAATAAAACCTTTCACTCGCGTTATAACAGAATGAAACAGCTGTTGTTTCACTATGTTAACGTCTAAATTACGATTCCATTCGATTTGCAATGAACGCCTAATCGGCAGAGGCACGCCACCAGGGATTTCTACCGCGCTGCCAATGGCACAGTGAGTTTCCTATACCGCGAATACATTCACCGGCGCCGTTCGATCGCATTGTATGTTAAAGTGTTAATGTATAGCATTACGCGCAAATTACAGGCGGCCCGACACGGGAATCATGAATCTTGAACTGTTAATTTACATGCTCCGTGAAATAACGATCGCGTCCCAGCCGTACGGTTAAACGGTTCATCTAACGCTTTTCACTTTTTACGATCGGATGCGTGGAACGCGATTCGACGACTCTTGTAATTTGAAATTACATTAAAAACAATTTTTAAGCACCGAAAAAGTTCACTTTGGAAGTGATGTGGATGGGGGGGGGGGGGGGGGTCATCAGCGATAGGGGATTGCCCCGACGTGGAAATCAAGTTCTATTGAAATTCTCCGTGGATACTGCAGTCTTAACACTTTACCGACTGGTAGGTTTTTACGTATTTGTTCAACGAGCGACGCCGCCTGGTAATTGGTCACCGAACCGATCGTTGACCCGATACAACAAAGGTTGAACGGTAGCCACGCTCGCGTGTACAGGACCCCGTTCCAAAAGAATCAAAGGAAAATGAGAAATGAACGAAAAAAGAAGAGAAGGGGGTCTTGGACAGGCTCTCCCCATAACACCTGCTGGCCGTGTCGTAACTTGTCTGACATCCTCATTGCCGAAAACAGAAGCTGCTCTGTGCCCGAATCGGCAGCGGAATACCGGTATCTCATAACGGCCTGGGTCGCGAAAATGGTGTTTTAAATTGCACGCTGGCGTTACATCGACGCCTTATTAACGCAGGGGACAGGTTACCCGTCGTTGGGACCACGAACGCTTTCTCGGAACCCGCACAGGAAGCGCAGACCTCGCGAAACATGGTAGCAGAGTCTTTCCCTCGACAAGTGTACGTGGCGTGTTATTTATGGATTTGATTTGGTTTTATAGGAAATTCGGTGTGGAAGGAGAGACGCTGGAACGAACCAGCACTATTCGAAGCAGATAGACGAGTCAAAGGAGAGGATCCAAGAGATTCCAGCTGTAATCAAGCCACAAGAACGTTATCGGAATAACTAGCGGCCCCACGAGGTGTTTCGATAGACGTTTGGGGAATCCCACGCGAGGTGTCGCCTGACACAACTCGTTCGCGGATTAAGTCCTGCCAGTTTGGGTCCATTTCGCAAAGAAGAGACCAGCACAACGCTACCAAGTGGATTCTGATACGCTAGAGGAGACGGGGTGGCTAGAATCTCTGCGGTCTGCTACATCTATTTATAGCGTGCGCCATACTAATGCACATGCGCCTATGCACCGCGCCAACACAGCCAGTCCCGAGCATAACGGGCTTTTATATGCTGCACTGGATATTCCACGTGGGCCCTCCCTCCTCCTGGCCCCTTCCACGTTCGCCCCTCCTCTTCTCGTCTTTCTCAGGATTCCCTGTTTCTCGTGGCATCGCCGATGTCTGCGGAGGTCTCTCGCTTTACACGCGTGCGAACGCACGTGCGGCTGCCTCTGGAGGAATGCACCGAACCGGGCAAAGCGATTTATGCGTGTGCACAGGTCCGACCGCGTGAACTTCGCACTTTTCTTGGCGAGGGTCATCAATGGTCGTCCATATTTATAGGCGAGTTGAACTTCAGTCGATGCGTTTCACGTGTAGCGTGTACGAGATACCTTCGAACTACACGCTGGGAGGTTTGAAATGAACGTTCGGAAGATACAGGGACTCCTAGGGACTTTGTAAGTCGGATCATAATCGAGTGGCCGTTTGAGGACACTGAGGAGTCGTCCCCCACCACTCTAAGCCACGCCTCTTGGTCACACCTTCCTCCACCACCATGACCTCAAGCCACGCCCTTCATATGTTATACTTTAGCTTTCACTAAAACACAATGATTTCAATGATACAAATACTTTGGTTACAGTCTAGAAACACGAGGTGCCAGATATTCTAATTTGATAAACTACCAAATAAAATATACACTGCAACAAAAATCTGTGCGCAAGTGTTTTAGCGACTGTCATTTAAGAATATCTGTCTCTATGCGCGATGTAAACAGTGACTTACTGTTCTAGATTTCCTTATGTCGGTTTTATGTTTCGTTTATAGGTTAAGTTACGCACTCTGCGCTAAAAAGTCTCACTAAAACGAACCGTAAGGAGGGAATGAAGTTTCGTTTACGACTCCGCACAATATCTAAATATCACGAGACTTTGAACGCACCCCTCCTCCCGCCTATGAAAATTTACGTTCTATTCGCAACCGTCGCGAACAAATATCATAGCGTCGGGGTAGCCAGGTCTCGAGGTACCTCGGGCGTTATAACTTCGGCAGTTGTTACTTATAAATTACCATCGCGGTGGTTATAACTCATAGACTGTACGACGCCTTTATAACTTATAACCCGGCCGTATAAGTTATAAACGCGGCGCGTATAATTTATATGTTACGACTGCTGATGTTATAAAGCGCCACGCCGTGCCAACAAACGGCATTATTTAATACGAGATTAATTCGGGTACGACAATCTTCCACCACCTCTTTCCTTTTATCGAGTAATGAATTCAGGGTGTATTTATCGACCTCCTGCCATGTTGTCTCCTGGACATCGTCGTTTCAATCGTTCCATCAATCTTCTTGATCATGTTCGGTCACGTGACGCGCGTACCCATTCAAACGTTATTCCCGTAGAATCACTTCTGTTTGTTTTTAATAGATAAATCACTTACCACGTGAAATCAAGTAAAGTATTTCAATATTTTTACCATATTAGCTTTTCGGTTTACGCTTAGTTGAATTGAAAATTGTGTCCAAATTCAATCCTCCGATGAATCGCCTAGTTCCTAACCTAGTCCTCTGGTCGTTGTGTAATCAGGGTCGTAACTAAGCGTAATGTAATAGAGCCAAATGTCGTCTAAATGTTTTTCACGGCCTATGTAACGAGATTTGCTTTTTCACGTTTGCGAGACCGGTCACGGCGACGGTAAATTGACCGATAATGTTGCTTGGCACTGATTGCCGGATAGCAATGATGAATGCACGCGGGGCGCCCCTCGGCACGGTCTGTCCTTTACCATGTACGCCAAGGTCGCTAACCTTACCGAGCCCTCGGGTCCTCTTTGGCGCCACACTCTCTTCGTACTTTTAGCCTGGCTCTGTGTTGTTGCAGCCGTTGTCCCGACCGCGGACAAAAACACCGTCTTCCTCGAACGAAACGACACGGTCATTCTGTCATGGTGTCCCCAAAATAACCGCCTACTTTCACTACCAACTGTGAACGCAAAATAAAATTCGTCGACTGAATTTCTTCGATTAATACGAGTCACGTTATAATTAATATATTATTCTTCCAATTGTTTAGCCGTCGAAGAGGATAGTTTTCCTTGATTTATTTTATGTTATATTTACTTGTCATTGAAGTGTCCCCGACGTAAATAAACGTGGCTCGGTTATTTTCGATGCGTAAAATTAATTTTTCATCCAAAGTGACGATTTGTTTCGAAAATTGATATTGTTTGTTTTCTTCAAGTTACACAACGGTTATTTCCATTCGTCTAAGCTTTTGGACGTCGCTCAACTCACGCGGAACAGGCTTATTCATCTTCCTTGCTTTATCAATCTTTGCCAAGTGACGAACGATCGTCGAATAGTGTTTCGACGTGGATTGTTTTCAACTCCTACTCATTATTTACAGTATTTTTATTATGTAAACGTAACCTCTAACCTAAAAACTACTTCGAAACTTACTTTACTTTGTACGCCGTTATGGATTTACTAAAATCGAGCATGTACCGCTATAGAATTTCCAGAAACGTGAAAACGGGAGGCTGGGCAAAATAAATCGGTGTCAATCAACAGCCGGAAGGTATGCGTCTTCGGTCCTTGATCTCGTTCCCTTTTAAGAGCCGCGAGTAAAATCTTTCTTTTTTTTCTCTCATTTCTGCTCTTCTTATTATCGCTAATATCACTGGTCGCACATCGCTGTTCCACTGAAACCCATCTCTCGGAATGCGAGCCGCTCCGATTTCAACCGCAATTCGACCGGGCAAAAATTCTTAACATTATTAAAACCGGCCGATGAGGTTATCGAATCGCTTCGCTCGGTATCGGCCTGCAATTACCAGACGCAATTACGTAAACCGCTTTTTTATCATCCCTAATTAGCCACACGCGCGACCCTCGAGTCGATCACAATCGACAATTACGATTTGTTTATACTGAGTTGGATAGGGTTCTATCGTTAATAATTTATAAGGATAGATATAGATTGAGCCTTCTCTTGAAGGCCGTATTTGGTGCAACAATAAAAATCAATTCTAAAAACACAGTCTTGTCATTCTTTCTAATAAACCTGCGACACGCTTTATGAGATGTATAATTACTTTACAGAAATGAGCAACACTATGATTATTAATAATGATCCTTTATTATTCATACAAAATTCATTGCAAACATATATTTTCATATACATATAAGAGCATATAGCCAAGCCAATGGACACGGGACTGGTATCGCCATCTAGCAGCGACAACCGCCTACGAGATGGCAACCGAACTGACACGCAGGCTAGTATCCGTTGCTGCATACCAGGGCCACTAATTTCCCTTTAATTTCTGTTTATTTCCTGGCACATTTTTCTTTAATTTCCCTTCATTTCTGTGATATTTCTTGGTTCAACAATGTTGCAAATTGCTCCCCTCAGAAACACAACAATGTTGCAAATTGCTCCGCTCGGAAACACAACAATGTTGCAAATTGCTCCGCTCGGAAACACAACAATGTTGCAAATTGCTCCGCTCGGAAACACAAC